ACTCTTATGATAATCATCATTCCATTTTTTAACCAAAGATTCTTTAAGACTCTCATTTCCTAGCTAGTATGTAATGGTAAGAATTATGATTGAACCAACCTCAGAAAGCCAGTGGTGGGTCCTTATGACTCAGCTACGTCTTGACAGCCATGAATTGAGTTTTTATGGAGTATATTGACATAAATGCATACACATTTATCAAAAGCTATTCTTAAAATTGTATTCAGGGGAAAAAATGGGCAGATCTAGTAACACACATCAAGATGTTACCTCACCTCTATCAAGGTGTCTGCAATTTAAACTATCTCAAAAGATGTCCAGGCTTGGCACTATCTAAGCATGAGCTCAGCTTGACCCAGCCGAAAGTGGCATTTTCAAACACAAGATATGCATTCAAAGGCAAGTCCAAATCCTTAGAAAACGTACTGGATTCTAATTCTGACATATATTCACAGCAGTCCCTCTAGATGGGATTTGTTGTTACTAAGTTTCATGAAACAATCCATCAAAGACATGAGTAATTTTAATAAGATGACATTTAGCCAATCTTATGGGCCAAAAGACGTGTCTTCCCACATACAGTAGTGAACTCTGCCCATGTGAGTGTTAACCACCTCCCTAAGGAAATGTGTCTACTGCCAGGTCCTGGCTTTCCATGATAATTTCCCCCTAACTCTGATATCCAGTTCCTGACCCTGATATCCGGTTCCTGACTATGATTTCCTGTTCCGACTCTTGAGTCTCCTCTCCTCTCCAAGAACAGGCATCGAGACATACCTATGGGCTGATACTTCAAGGCAAGCCGTGTGTACCAGGTATCCTCAAGCTTCTTTAGGGCTTCGTTATCATGCAGGGGGAACACCTGAATCACAATACCAGAGGTGATCAGTCTTCTCACTATGGAGAGAAAAACGTATCAGAGTCCATAAAACAAGCCCTAGATTGTTCATGTGTCCATGACATGTCATCAAATGCCATGAAAACACTCTGGCCGAAAGCTGAGCACAACACAGAAGGCCATTCTAGTGGCTCCTCAAGGATCTTTGTTAATTTCCTTGACTAGGGAGCTCTGGTGGCTTTGTGGCAAAAAGCTGCACTGCAAACCCAAAAGCACAGGGTTTGAGGCCACCAGCTGTTTTGTGGGAGAAGGCTGGGCAATCTCCTCCTGTGTGATTAACTGCCTCTGAAAACCTGCTGGAAGGTGAGCCATTGGTCAGTTCTGACTAGACAGTACACAAGAACAACATAAAAACAATAAACTTAAATCATATGGGAATGAGAATGTGAAGGTCTCTGTTATTCTCCCCTTTCAGTGGAAAATAAGCAATGTTAGTGGTAAGGAGCAGTGCTGCAATGCCAAAGGCACACAGTTCAAATCCACCAGCGACTGTACAGAGGAAAGGTGGGCAATCTCCTCCTGTGCGATTACAGTACCTCTGAAAACCTGCTGGGGGGTCAGTTATGTGTCGGTTCTGACTCAGTGGTACACAACAACAACAGTGGTAATTTACTGTATACCCAGACTTCTAAAATACACATCCAGAAATGTGTGCTGAAAAAAAAATATTGTAGCCATTCTACATGCATTATTCTATAGTCTTTCTCATGAATAATATCCTTTTCCATAGAACATAATACATCCCTTTTAATGGTGCCTTAATATTCCCTTGTATGAAATGCTGGAACTTAACTAATCCTCTATCAAGGAATATTACTTTTTTATTATAAATTATGCTATCTTTCCCGACATAGCTACAGGGGAAATTGAGGAGACAGATATATTTAGCCAAGGACAATATCTCCTGGCAATGCGACATGAAAAGAAGGCATTTTCTCATCCATAATTACCTAGACTGACTCATGAGGGGGCTAAGTGTAATCAGGTTTTCAGAAAGTGGACTCAGGAGATATGGGGAACTCACGTAAATGCCTGTGCATTTGGGGCAATGAAGCACACGCCCTCACCTTACTAAAAAATAGGGGGGCTTCTAAGATGCTTTCTTTACTCCTATCTACTTTGGACATATTGTGAGGAGAGACAGGTCCTTGGAGAGGGACATCATGCTTGGTAGGGTAGAGGGACAGCGCAGGAGGGGAAGACCCTCTATGAGGTGGATTGATTCGGTGACTGGGGTAATCGGGATGGGAGTGTCGGAGATAGTGCGATTGGCACAGGATAGAGCAGGGTTTAGGGCTGTTGTACATAGGGTCGCTATGAGTTGTAAACGACTCAACGGCACATAACAACAACAACTTTGTCACCAAAGGCAGGTGATTTAGGATATTAAACACCAGATTAATTTATCAAGAGATAAATATCACCAACATTGAAATGGCACATGATTTCCGTTTTCTGGGCCGAAATACTGCATATAACTGGCAGCATATCCTCACGGCGAGTTCTTCTCATAAATCTCCATGAGAATGGAAACATAAACTTAACTTCTGAGAAGTAGGGGGGAGGTATGGAGTGGGGTGTGCATGTGTGAAAAATAAAAATATCCAAAAGCAACAACAGGGAAAATTCTGAATCTGAAGTAAAAATTTAGAGTTGGGTTGAGAATTCTCTCTCATGTGTACAACCAAGAAAAAAAGCTTGAAAGCTAGAATTGTGATTTTTAAACAAGAAATCCTCCTTAATAGTGAAGAAAGACATATGCTCAAAATATCACTAACTAGAATAAAAAGGCATGTACTCTAAGTTACCTTAGCCTTAGGTTCAGTGAATTTTCTTTTTTAATTCTAAAGTGTTTGGATTTTCCTTTAACTAAAATATGAGTGAAAATAGATCACCCACAAATACTGTGACTCCCCCTTATTTGGGAATGAATACACAGAATGTAGCCTGTTCTTTCTATCACTATCTTTAAAATTATTGTATCAAGTTCTTAAACTTTGAACTGCTTCACAGCACCTAAATTATTATTTTACTATCACAACGTTGATGTTCTTCTTTTCTATTACTCAGCTCTACTACAGACTTTCCAGGGGCGGATAAAACCCAGCTTGTGTGCTTCTAAAAATAAGAATGTGAGCTGAGGGACAGAGAGAGAAGACGCTCCAGGCCCCCAAATGACTGGGCTTCTCTTCACTGTCAATGCCAAAGGCACAGGTCTGGTTTCAGCTTCTAAAGCCAACTGTCATTTTGGGAGGTTTTTGCCTCTTGTTTAGGTTTTCTGGGTTGATTTTTTAAAAACATTTTCCCACCTTTCCACCTCCTTAAAGGCCAACTAAGAATGTGATTTACCAGCAGCTTTACTTAACTTCAAAGGAAAACATGACGGTTGAGGGACTATTTAAAGAAGGGATCAGCTTACAACAAGATTCCCTCCTTCAGGAATGCTAAGTGACCTCTTGTCAGGTACTGTTGATTATGAATCCCAGTTAGCAAATAAAAGCAAATCTAAATGTAAATCCAGAAAGGCTCTAAGTAACCTAATTTACTGCTGTTGTTTTGTACTTTAGAGTTGGAACCAACACATCGCTGACTCTTCAGTGGGTTTTCAGAGGCAGTTAATCACATGGGAGGAAACTACTCATCCTTCTCCTGTGGGGCACCTGGTGGCCTTGAACCCCGTGCCTTTGGGATTGCAGCACAGCTACTTGCCACTAGGCATAGGCTGTTATTGTTGTTGTGTGCCATCGAGTTGCCTGCGACTCATAGCGACCCTATACACAACAGCCCTAAACCCTGCTCTATCCTGTGCCAATCTCATGGTCTCTGACACACCTACAACCATTAACCCAGTCACTGAATCAATCCACCACATCCAGGGTCTTCTTCTCCTACGCTGTTCCTCCATCCTCCCAAGCATGACGTCCCTCTCCAAGAACTGTTCCCTCCTTGCAACATGTCCAAAGTATGTTAGATGAAGCTTCAGAATCCTTGCCTCCAAGGAGCAACCCGGCTTCACCCTGTCCAGAACAAACTTGTTTGTTCTCCTAGCAGTCCACGGTATATTCAATACTTTTCCCAGCACCAGAGCTCAAAGGCATCAACTCTCCTATCATCCCTAGTCATTGTCTAGCTTTCTGATGCATAGCCAGTAATTGCAAAGACCATGGCCTGGATCAGGCGCAAGTTAGTCGCAAGACTGACATCATTGGTCTTCAGTACTTGGGACAGCCGACTTCCCCAATGCAATTAGTCTTTTAATTTCCTGGCTGCTGGTACGAAGAGTGTCGACTGTAGATCCAAGGAAATTGAAGCTAGGCACAGGAGGACCCCACAAATTAAACACGACAGTAACAATATTACTAAAATACTCTGTTGTCACCAATTTGTGTGGGATGTTCAAAAGAAAAAACAACTCTCCCACAGCTCTTCAGAGTTTGTCTTTGTAACTGAGAGGAACAGGCTCTGCTGCCTTTGTGCCAGCAACAGGGCAATAAGGGCTCAGAGTCCCACAGGCAGTGAAGGCAGCGGCCTCTGCAGAGCGTTCCCCCCCATCACTGCCACGGGGCTGCAGCAACCCCATGGCTCCTAACTGGCTCCAGGTATAACAGACCACATTTTCTTTACAAAGATACCACTTGTTTATACTGGTTCGGTTCCCCACCCCCTGCCCCCATCACAGCTTATTATACACAACAGCAAGTGTGTATGTGGCAAAACACAAAACGGGGGTGGGGGCTCTAGCTGTCTTGGGTCATTCAGTCAATCCTGACACATGGTGAGCCCACGTGCTCCACGGGGGACTGCTCCACAGGGCTGTCCTGGCAGCGGCGGGGCACAGTCCACAAGAAGTTGCGATGCGCCTCTCTGGTGATTCCAGTCCACTGGATGTTCTGAGGAAAGAAAGGTAGGCAATCTCCCCCTGTAGAGCTCACACAGCCTCAGAAATCCAATGGAGGGTCGGCTATGGGTCGGTTCTCACACAACAGCAACAAGACAGAATTTTTACAGAAGGAGCCCTGGTGGCCCAGTGGCTAAGCGCTCCTGGTGGCCCAGTGGCTAAGCGCTCAGATGTCAACCAAGGGGTCACCATTCACATGCCCCAGTTATAGGAGAGGGAGATGTGACATTCAGTTCTAGTAAAGATTAATGTCTCAGAAGCCCTATTCTGTTCTGTCCTATAAGTGTCCCTGGTGAGGCAGTCAATTCGATGGCAATGAGCTGAACCTGGGGTGGGTGGGGCGGGGGGGTGCTCTTTAATCTTTATAAGAGCAGATTGCCAGGTCTTTTTTCTGCTGTGTCACCAGGTGAGTTTGAACTGCCAACCTTTCAGTCACCAACTGAATATAAACTGCACCATGGATGGATCTGATCATGTATATTTGCATATGTGTGTCTAAATGGCTACATCTTTATTATTTTTTTCATTTTTTTTTAATTTAGGTTGTTTATTTTTCATTTCAATGAACATCTACAGAGATTCTGCCTTCCAGTTGGCAGCCAAGCATGTTAACCAGGAGCACACCACTTTAGCATGACAAACAGTAAAGACATAATCAGGAATTGTTTCACAAAACTCTCAATAAAAAACATAATCATTAGACACAGAAGAAGAATGGATGCCTTGGAGTTGTGATGCTGGAGAAGAGTGGTGAACATCCCACGGACTGCCAAAAGAATAGACAGGCTTGTCCTGGAAAGAGTGTGCCCAGAGGGCTCCCTGGAGGCAAGGATGATGAAGCTTCATCTTTCATGCTTTGGACATGTAGCTGGGCGAAGCTACTCCTTGGAAAGGAACAGCGTGCTTAGAAAGATGAAAGGTCAGCAAAGGAGAGGAAGACCCCCCAAGGAGATGGACTGACATGGTGACTACAGAAATGGGCCCTCGTGTCTCAGAGATGATGAGGATGGCTCAGAATTAAGACAGGCTCCAGGTTGGCTGTTCATAGGGTCGGTATGAGTCATACTTGATTCAATGGCACCTAACAACACTGTAATGAAG